CATTTTGTTTTGTTTTTGCTATTGTAGCTAATACTGTAGGGAGCATCTCTGTGTGTTTACTTCTGTTTCATAGAGTAAATTCCCAGGTCTGGGATGACAAAATGAAAGGATGTGAAAGTTTGATGATTTTTTAAACATGTTACCATGTTTTCGAAAAAGGAATGGCAGTTTATAATGTGTGCGATACGTATGAGTGTAGCACCTAGTTTTTATAGCTCACATAGTTCTTGTCACATTCTGCCTTATGTGGCAAACATTTATGGATGCATTGTCTCTTCTCCAGTATTGTATGGTAATGGCTGCGCCATGTACATATTTATATGTTTTTCTTTGCCTAACAGCACTTTTCTAAGGAAATACTGGATATAGATAAGGTTTTGGAATTGTTTGATGAATAAGATGTGTGATAATCACATGTAAAAGCTCATTAGATAGTATGAAGTATTATATGTGAATAAGTCGACACAAAGCAAAATGTGTAGTTAGCAGGAAGTTGTAGATAATGCTTTGACATTGTTTGTGGCATTGTATTTCTCCTCTTACAGGTGGGGGACCTTAGGCTGGCACTGCAACGAGCAGAACAAGCAGCTGCCAGAAAAGAGGATTATTTACGCCATGAAATCAGTGAACTTCAGCAGGTACTGTTACAGTTTTCCTAAACACAAATTTAAAAAGTATGTGTTTTTCTAGAAATAAAAAAATAAAATGATTTAATGGCTTAATGTTCATGGAATTGAGAGGCTTACTACCATTTGCCGTATTTTTTGGCTTATTTAAATAAAGTCAGAGTGAACACCTTAAAAATGTATAAAGGAAAATCCCTAATTTTGTTTTATAGAAAATAATTTTATCATGGTAGATTTATTGCATGTTCAGTATTGCTTTTTCATTTGTAATAGCTAGTTTATTAATAATTATCAATCTTTGATTACTGTGGGGCAGATGATCAGTGCCCAGTTTCAGTGCCACTACTTGAATTTTCTATCTGTGAACATGCACAGGAAAAGGGAGGGGCAGTACAACTTAGATTGATTTTTCTGTTATTATAAATACTTAGAAATATTTGGATAAGGAGGCAACTACTTAGAGGTTTCGATGAAGTCTTTTTTTACCTTCAGGTAATTAAAGACTATGTTAGGCTGGGTATGGTGGCTCATGCCTGTAATCCTAACACTCTGGGAGGCTGAGGCGGGAGGATTGCTTGAGCTCAGGAGTTTGAGACTAGCCTGAGCAAGAGCGAGACCCTGTCTCTACTAAAAATAGAAAAATTAGCCAGGCATTGTGGTGCACGCCTGTAGTACCAGCTACTCGGGAGGCTGAGGCAAGAGAATCACTTGAGTCCAGGAGTTTGAGGTTGTAGTGAGCAAGGATGATGCCACTGCATGCTACCCAGGGCAACAGAGCGAGACTTTGTCTCCAAAAAAAAAAAAAAGACTATCTTAGAAATGCTTTGTAAAGAAGCACTTATTGAGATACTCTTATGCAACTTAACTCTAACAGAAGGATTAAACAGTTCGAAAAATACTTTAATAAAAAAGCAAATAACTCTCAGAAAAATAATTTTTTCCAGAAATCTTTCATAAAATTTAGGTTTACTAGTGTTTTTATTGCTTTCAGTGGTAATGACTTATGAATTTTATGATTTAGAGACTCCAGGAAGCAGAGAATCGAAACCAAGAACTGAGTCAAAGTGTTTCATCAACAACAAGACCATTGCTTCGACAAATAGAAAATTTGCAAGCAACCCTAGGGTCCCAGACATCGTCATGGGAGAAGTTAGAGAAGAATCTTTCTGATAGGCTTGGTAACTGCTTTAGTTTTTATGCTTGATGTAGAAGCTTTTTCCATCTCGTTTATAGAATTACGGTAACCGTATGAAACTGAAATTCACTTGATCTGATAGTTACATTTTGTGTCTAACATGTAGATTTTACCTTTTCTTTTTCAATACCTTAATTGTGACTCTTTCAAACCATTTTTTTCCTGTACTTAATATGTCAGATACTGGCTAAAATACTTCTATGTCATTCGTTCATTCATTTTTACAGACTGCTGCATTCAGGTTTTCCTTGTCCGTTGCTAAATCTGACTGCTCTCTAGTTTGTCTGCAATAGTGTAAGAAGTAGAGCTCAGATATGATTCTTGTCACTGGTAGAATTCCAAGAGCAGAGACAGATCTAAGGAGAGTCAAGATTAAACTGTAAAAAAGAGATACTATGGAGTCTTAAGATTCCATACTCTGCTTCTTTACAGACATGACCCAGGTTGCCCTTCTGTGCTGTTAATAAAAAGAAAATTATTATTCCAGGATGTTTTTCTTTACACACAGACAGGTAGTGTTTGATATGCTAGGTATCCCAGAAGCTAGCAAATTCATGAAAAATTCATGTGTGCCTTCTATAGCTAAACCTAACTGTAATTTGAGAGATGACAGTGTAGTGACAAAAACAGACCTGAATGAGGGTCAGGAGACATGGACTCAAGGTATTGTGTTTTCTTCTGTATCATCCAGCCAAATAGTTTGGAACAAGTCACTTACATTGCTCCAAACTCTTTCTCTGGACTACTCCTGGTGAATGAGGAGGGGTGAATGAGGTTAGTGGCTTTCAAGCGGGTCTCTTAGATGCCTGTGGGGCTGTTGTCATGGTGAGAGGGAAGCTGGATAAATAAGGCTCTGGGCTTCTCAGACTGCTTTAGTGAAAATAGGGCCTCCTTTTTCTATCATTTTTTGTTGGAGTTCTGTGCGAGATTTTGTCCGGAGAGAGATTCATCTGTTTTAAAAAAAATTCGTTGAACTAGATGAACCTTCATATGTTTTTAAATTTATAGGTATAAATTTTAGGTCTTTCATTTATCTATGACAACTCTTTTGAGACCAATGTGATATGCAATATGAGACATCTGAAATTAACAACTTCTGAATTGAATATTTATTTAATAATAAATGAAAGCTAGAAGCTGGTGTTTTTGTGGTTTTCAGACTGGAGTCTGTGTACCCTGGGCAATGCATGGTATTGTGCAGGAATATGGGCAGAGCCATAGAACACACATACCATAGAATGCTATTAAGAGGAGCATAGATATGCACAATGTAAAATAAAGGTATTATTAGGTCTATTTTGGTGGGGAAAAACATGAGAATTCTTGCCTTGGTTAAATCTCGGACTCTTATCCAGTCCTCTTTTTTTTTAATTGAAGTTTTTAATTGAGATAATTGTAGATTCACATGCAGTTTTAAGAAATAATATAGAAAGGTTCCTTGCACACTTTGCCCAATTTCCCCAAATGTTAAAATTTTGCAAAATTAATGTATAATATCACAATCAGGATACTGACATTTGTATAATCTACCAATTTTATTCAGATTTCTCTAGTTTTATTAGTACTCATTTGTGTGCATATTAGTCCTATACAGAACACCACTCATGTAGGTTCATATATCCATCACCATAATTAAGATACTGAAAAGTTCCAATACCACAAGAGTGTCTCATGTTGCCCTTTTATAAACACACCTACCACCTTCTCAACCCTCCCACACCAGCCCAAATCCCTCACAACCACGAATCTGTCCTCTATTTCTAAAATTTTGTCATTTTAAAAATGTGAGGTAAATAAAATTGTATAATATGTGACATTTTGGGACTGGGTTTTTTTGGTCAACATAATTCACTGGAGGTTCATACAAATTGTTGTTTGTATCAATAGGTTAGTCTTTTTATTGTTGAGTTTCATTTCATGGTATGGATATTACCAGTTTTCTTAGTCACCTGACAAAGGACATCTGGGCTTATTCCAGGTTTTGACTAGTACAGATAAAGCTGCTGTGAATATTCACGTCCAGGTTTTAGTGTGAACAGAAGTTTTCATTTCTTTGGTTAAATGCACAAGTGTGCAATTGCTGGGTCGTATGGTAGTTAGTTGCATGTTTAGTTTTTTAAAGAAAAGGCCAAACCATTTCTAGAATGGCTGTGTGTACAAGAGTAATCCAGTTTCTACACATCCTTGCTAACATTTTGTGTTGTTCCTTTTTTCTTTTGTTATTCAGACATATGTGTTGTCATAACTCAATGATTTTAATTTGCATTTTTCCTAATAGCTAATGATATTGAACATCATTTCATGTCCTTATTTTCCATTTGTACATCCTC